TYYTTTTTTTTTCTTTCGGGGAAGAAGCATTTATGATATTAAACACGTGACCTGTGCATTTTTCTCTATGCTTCTATACACATTAATTTCATTCATTCGCCTTTATTTTTTAATTTATTACATTTAATGTTTCTTTTCTTCTTCTTCTTCTTCTTTTTTTTTTAAATACATTCAATGTTTCTTAATTTTATTACTCTGCATGCATTCATTTCCTTTCGATTTTATTTTCTAATTTATTAAATAATGTATATTTCAAAAACAAAATCTCACTACCTCAAATAAAGACACAATATTGTCTCATTTTAATTATTTATACATGAATTGAAGTGTGGCAGTAATTTTCCATATAGAAAAGTTATTAACTAAATTTAGTTTAGTTCTATTATCTTCAAATATTTTGAAATGATAAAGGCAACTAATTGTAACTTTTAAAGTTTAAAGATTCACTAAATATATAAATAATCTAAATACTAACCAATAAAATAAAACAATCCTAATTAAGAAAAATCAGAATAAATAGTATTATTAGGAGAAACTCATTTTTCCAAGAAAAGAAAAGCAAAGGAAAAAAGAAATATTTAGGCATATGCATAGAAAATAATAAAATAACATACTTAAAAGACACGCATTAGTTAAGATTTTTGGAACCATTTCTTAGGTCCAACTAACATAACTAATCCGACAAACCCCATCCAAATTTAGGGTTCGTTAGCTTTTGAAAAATTACTAATTTCCGGTGGCAGCCAACCACCACCACCGCCACCTCCGTCACCATAACCGCCGCCGCCGCCGCCAACTCTTGTAATTCCCATTCTGTCCCCATTAATTACTTTTATTTATTTTTCTTTGAATTATTTACAGCCTCTGCCTTCTGCCAAAAATAACTCACCTTCCCTCTCTCTCTTTATTAATTAGCTTTTGATTTGTCAAAGTTGCCATCATGTACTTAGCTTTCTGTATTATTGCCCTTAGTTCATTTCCCCACCTTTAATTTAAATTCTTCATGGCTTCCTTTGCTTGCTTTACTTTGGGTTTATCAAATCTTATAATTAAGTTTGGTCAATTCATTACAAGACAAGAAGTTTGTTCTAAATTTATCAATGGCTTTTGAGGTTTACCTAATCATTATTCTTGCCAAATTTATTTAATCTAACTCATGTAACTTTTCTTTTACAACATTATTTTGTAGTGGAGTAGATTTGACCTTTCCAACTTCTAAAGAGATCAAATGTTAATAATCGATCATTTAAACTATATGCTAAGGTTGAAATCAATGTATACATGAGAAATGCCAACTCGAGTATAGTCCAGCACGTCTGAATCTCGTAGAAGAAAAATCTAATTAGTATTGGTAAATTAGGGACAAGTTTATCTCAAGAACTCCAAATTAAAATTAAATCAATAGTTCATAAATCTAAGATTTAAAATTAAGGGCATATTTTAAATTTTACCTGAAATCGAAATTGGAGTAAAACTTCGAATACAAATTTTATTCCAAATTCAAGTATAGCAAACAAAAATTATATTAGAATATAGCATGTTACACTCTTAATCCTAATGGGATTAGTCACTTCTGTTTTTACAATTAGCATAATGCCATTAAATTTTACTTAAACAAAAAAAAAAGTGACATAACTTTTATTTTACTCAAACTCTTGATAGTCTCAAAGGAGAAATAAATGTATTAATCTWGTTTAAATCAATCAATAGTGAGTGCACTAGCAGTATAGATGAAGCCTTCCAAAATGGTTGACCAGAAAAACAAAAACCAAACATGTCCAAATTGGTTGTTGACCTTAATTAGAACTTGGGATTCCCACTTGACAAACACAATGTCAAAATCTCTCAATTTTGGGGAATATTTTTCGTACATATTGACATATTCTCATCTTAAATTCAACTCTTTTACCATAATAAAATAATATACTTTTCTTGAGTAGTCCAAAATACCAAAGTTTCAACCCCATTTGGTGGTTCAACCCACTCCAAAATTACTTCTATTTTTACTTTTACAAGTCAACCAACCACCCATTTCTTAACCCAAAGAATATTAGTTTGTTTTTTTCAAATTAAAATATCAAGAGAGTCAGCTAGGATTTAAAAGGTGTGAACAAAAATAAAGAAAATTTGAAAATAAAACTAAGTTACATTGAATTTTGTTCAATATTTTTATGTTATACCTTTGGATTCCAACCACCAGAACTTTTTTTTTTAGTTCAGTTCAATTCAGTTCGGCTTGTGTTGTATAATTGAGAAACTATGATGCATTTTGGTTGGTGATCTAAAAACGAGAGATTATGTGAAAAAAAAGAGTTGTATTTTTATATGTTATAATTTTGTATACTTATTATTTTAAAATATTATATAATTTATAAATATTATGTTTTACAGATTTTAATTTTAATAAAAATGAATTCGTTTATAATATGAAATAGTATATTTATTAAAGTTTTTAACATTTTTTACGATTAAGGCATCTAGGAGTTTAATCTTCATGGATACATTTATTTTTTTATTGAATTTGAAAACAAAAAGCATATCAAACATGACCTAAATTCTTTTAGGTATCCATAAATTTAGCACCATGATATTATTGACACGTTTGAAATTTTAATGTTATTAGGATATTGAATAAGCAATTCAAACAACAATAGCTTAGTTGACTTGCACATATAGCAAAATATTTGATATCATAAATCAAACCCAAATGGAAAAAATTTCTTCACTTATTTATTTAAAAACAGTGAAAAAAAGTTGTGTTAGAACCCAAAATCTTCTCCTTTCCCATCTAGAGTCTCTTCAATTCTTCCATAAACAACATTTCCAACACACGTACCAACCAAACCAGTCCCATTCCACCAATCCCAGCCCGACTACACACGTGCCAATCTGACACCTCATCTCCAAATTCGACACGTGTCATTTTCAAACCCAATTGTCAACTCTCTAGAGAAACATAGACCCTAACTGTCCACTACCAACTCTGCCCCTCTGTATAAAAACCCCCTCACCATTTTTCCCTTCACCAAATTTCACCGCTCCACCATGAACTGGACCCGGCGATCCGCCGTCGGCCGCGGCTCCTCCGCCACCATCTTCCTCGCCACCACCTCCTCCGGCGACATCTTCGCCGTCAAGTCCGCCGAGCTCCCCCAATCGGATTTTCTACAAACGGAACAGGGGATTCTTTCTACTCTGTTCCACCCATCCGTTGTGGGCTACAGGGGATTCGATTTAACGAGAGAGAACGGCAAGGTAATGTATAATCTCTTCATGGAGTACGTCGCCGGCGGTTCCCTCGGCGACGAAATCGTCCGGCGTGGAGGTCGGATTAAGGAGGCGGCGGCGGGGTTCTACACGTGTCAAATTGTCAGGGGATTGGAGTATTTGCACGCGCGAGGATTGGTGCATTGCGATATTAAAGCTAGGAATATTTTGGTCGGTGAAGATGGGGTGAAGATTGCTGATTTCGGCTGCTCCAAATGGGTCTCTCAGCCGGCGGCGATCGGCGGGACACCGATGTTCATGGCGCCGGAGGTGGCGCGTGGGGAAGAACAGGGGTTTTCCTCTGACATTTGGGCGCTTGGGTGTACCTTAATCGAAATGGTCACCGGCGGTCCCCCGTGGCCCGACGCCGGAAACCCAGTTTCGGTGCTGCACCGAATTGGGTATTCCGGCGAGTCGCCGGAAATTCCCAGCTTTCTATCGGACCCGGCAAAGGATTTTTTGGGGAAATGCCTGAGAAGGGATGCAAGAGAACGGTGGAGCGCGAGTCAACTTCTGGGGCATCCATTTTTGGGGGAACTGAGTTGTGGGTCGGAGGAAATAAAGGAATTACATTCCGATTCACATTCCAATTCTCCGACGAGCATTCTGGATCAAGGACTGTGGAATTCACTGGAAGAACAGTCGTCGGAAGCTGTGGAGAAATCAGAGAGGTGGGATGATGACAGAATCAGACAGCTGTCGATGACTTCGGGGGAATTTAGGTGGGAATTGGGAGATGAGAATTGGATCACAATCAGAGAAGAAAGCAACAGAAGCTCTGTGGAAAGTGACTCCATTTTCGGGTCAACATCAGAAATGGGCTTCAGAAGAGATTATGGGAAGTGCTCGCAATTGTTAGATACAACCGTTAGGTTTAGATTAAGGAAGAATGATGTTGTAATTAGTGATCTTAGTTCCAACAGAGACAGAGCTAACTTGTTAGTTCATCTAATCTCAAAGTTTTGATATTTTAAACACACTCTCTCTTCTCTCTCTCTCTCTCTCTCTCTCTCTTCTCTTTTAATTTGTTGAGTTTGGTAGATTTTTAGCCAAACCCATGTTGACATATGACACAATTACTAAAGCTAAAATATTTAATACCATAAAAAGAATGGAACTTGGGTGCTAGGAGAGGAGGTCCTCATAAGTCATAATAAAGGGAGATGAATTTTGCTTGGGTTGTACTATTAGTAGTAAGTGGATGGAGTGAAGGGAAAGGCTAAAAAAGTTGCAAGAAAAGGGAAGTTCTAGTTAGAGAAGACGAAGCAGAAAAAGAACATAGAAAATGGAGAAGCAAAAGAGAAAGGAAGGGAAGGGAGGCGCAGCTTTGAGTAAAATGAGAGAGCCTCCAATGAAGTTTTTTGGAGTCTGCAAAATTTGGAAGGCGCTGTCACTGTCAGGAATTTGGCTGTTCTTTTTCTCAATAAAAAGAAAAAAAACACGTGCACGGAATTGGGCCCTCAGAGCCTATTTGGGCTTTACAGCTGGCCCGGCCCAATAATCCAACAACATTTGGCGATCTTAATATCATTTCTCATGTGGGACTGCCAATAGAGTAACCTACCTAGGGTAGTTGATCAAAAATACAAAAAGAGAGAAAAAACTTACTCCTTACAGATGCAAAGGTTTTTATTTTTTATTTCTTTTAACAAAAACCTGTCAATTTTTCAATGGGTGAGGATAATATTTAGCATCATCCGTAAGGAGAGCCAAGCATTTTCTTAAAAAAGATTATGGCTTTAAAAATAAATGTAGAATATTTCTACTCAAACCAAAGTTTAGATAAAAGTTTTGTCTCAAATATACCTTTATTAACAATAGTATTTACAATCAGTTTGTTGGGTTTTCTGAAGACCAAATCATCAACAAACTTGTTGTAAGGCCATTTTTAAAACATGGATTGAATGAAATGGAGAAAGAGAGCAAAGAAGCGCTATATCACTTGACTAATCAATGAGCATAGATTGTGGTACCTAAGTGTCAAGCGTCACCCACAACGTCGCGACATTGTCCAACTTGAAGTGTCCTATTGATTTGGAGTATCCATAGCACTCGATTACAACACACTACAACGATAAAATCTATGTAAACTTCATATTTTGCTAGGTTTTTTCTGAAGCAGGGAAGGAGAAGTGGCAAGGTGACAATGTAATTAAGAGAGAAAGGAGAAGGGTGTAGACTTTTGTCCATACTTCATATTCTCCTTAGTTTAGTGAGGATATTATCGCGCAAAGCCTAAGTTGTCATTGTCATGATACTACAAGAGCATTGTATTTTTTTGCATCATAGCCAAACATATTGTTTCAAAAGATTGGATGTAGTCTATAGTTTAGGACAAAACCTAAACTCGGATGTTAAGTTCCTTCAATCAATGTCTTATATTATTACTTATTTTTATCTGTTTCATTCTGTGGGGGATTAGTTAGTTCCTATTTGGACAATTCTATTCGAGACGGTTGATCCTAATCAAGGTATAACATAACATGGAATTATCGTTTGTATATCATTAATACACAATCAATTCAATTCATTACACATTTATCAAGATATTAACGAATAAAATTGTTTCATCTAAGTATGGTTTTATCACCCTAAATCCCTCCTCAAACTCTCACACCTCTCCACTGCTGCTGTCAGAACTAACCTCCGGCGGGCTCGCCGGAATCAAAGAATTAGACCTCATAACCGTAACAGCCATCAAAAACAGAGACACCAAAACGGAGAGCAGAGACAAAAGAAGAGCAAAAACATGCGCCGCGCCGGCGCCGGCCCCAACTTCCTTAGCGTATTCAATGGAAGCCAACGCAAGAACCGACACAGGAAACGAATAAGCCCACCACGCCACGCTGAATTTCCTCATAGATTTCCTGAAAAGCCGCGGCCTCAAAACCAGCGACACGAACAGGAAAACGGAGAGAAAAAACATCATCTTTGAAAACACATCAAATTTCCCATTAATCGAATTCCAAGCCACACTCGCCATGCTCGGTGCCGCGAAGAATAGGAAAAAAACAGGCCTCAAAGTGGCCGGAAGGCAGTTGCTTCCGGCCAACCTCTGATACAGAGTCACGAACAGGACTAAGTAATGTGCCATTCCGAGGGAGAACATGCACAATGCCGTCTCCCGCCACCCCATCACCGCCGCGGCCCGCGCTCCGGCCAAGTTTCCAATCACCGACAGCTGGCTCGTGGGATTCGCCACGGTGGACAGAAATCTCTTCCCTTTCGTGAACCACTGGCCATAGATCTTCACGTCCAATGCCGCAATCGGGATCACGAACACCCACATGAGGATTTCTTGGGGAACGAACTTTAGAGGTGAGGATTGAAGCAAGAGGAGCCAAGAGATCCATGGAGCAAAGAGGTAATTCACACCCACTCTGTTCAAAAACTCTGCTTTTACCAATTTGAAGTGGAAGAAGCATCTTAAAATGTATGTGAGCGAAAGGGAAAGCAGAATTAAGAGTGCCAATGACCATAGGAACAAGAAAGCTGTATTGGGTAGGAATTGGAGGATTCGAGTGAGAGAATTTTGGTTTTGAATTGGGTGTTTGAGGATTTTCCATAACAGGGCTTGGGCGCAGAGGGACATGCTGATTCTGAAGTAGCCTGCGTGGAATTTAGCTAAGAGGAGGAGGAAAAATGAAGCTTCTTTCTTTTGATTCTGATCCATTTCCTCCATTTTTGTGTAGGTGGATGAAGAGGAGTGGTGCAATTTTGATCCGTTTGGGAATGGTACATGAATATATAGAAATTTAGAAGGAAAAGTGCTGCATGTTGGTGTGCTTTTGGGGCTTGCCATTTTGGACTTTGTGACCTAAACATATGACTTGTTTTGAACCCTTTACAGCTACATTCAACCATGTTTCTTTAGTGGATAAAGTTGTTGTCAGTGAGATTTGTTCTTCGCCTTCAATAGATACATTGTTTATCCAACATTCCGTAATAAAAATTAGTGCTACCTACTTTTCTTTGTGCTACATAGTGCTCTTGAATTGCTATTTCCCTGTTGCCCTGACATTCCACTGTGATTCTTGTGTCGGGCCGAAAAATGTGCGGGTTCGGAGGCTCAAAATCTAGCTTCAGTTAGTAGGTCGATGGCATCAACAGAGGCGGCTCCAGCTCATCGCAATCCTGCTGTGCAACCCCCTAAGCGGAAATTTCCCAAGAAGATCTATGGACTGAGTTGGAACAACCTCTGATATTCGACCACGAACGACGGTTGGAACTTAAGGATCGACTCTGTTTTCACTTCAATGGAAAAAATGATGAATCAACACTTGTGGACTTTAGGGATCTTATCGGAAAACAAATGAAAGAGGGAAATCGCTCTAGTTGCGCCACCGTCTTTACCTAACGTACTTAAAAGAACAAAGACTATCCTTACAGGCCAACACAAGTCCTTTCAACATGCTTTTGTGCTTCCAACTTAAGATTATTCCAAACCAAGTACGCTTAATTTTGGAGTTTTATAGTTGAGTTATCGAAAAGAAAAGTGGTATTTTTTAACTATTCATTTCATGATGTTCGAATCATTATGTTGGGTTTGGAAGTTGAATGCAAACAAAGTCTGAATTATCTCTGAGGTTTTTTGGGTGAAATCAAAAGCAAAGTCACGAGGATTAAGTCAAAATCAGACAATATCATACTATGGTGAAGATACTTAGGAACTTGGAACCATTATCCTTAACACATACTGATTCGAATTTGATATCGATTCATTCATCATATCATTTTCTCTTACTCGGTGTCGCTAGATTCTTTATGCAATAAAATTCCACCCTCAAACAGACCTGGGAAATCTGCACAATCTTATTTTTGTTGTGAATTCCCCACTTTTCCATGAAACCATCAGCAGTTTCTACAGTGTTTCCAGTCCATTTTCGTATGATCTGAGTGGAGAAATGACTATCCCATTTCGTACTTCTTCTTTAGGCAAATTAGATTTTTATGGACAAGGAATTTTCGAGGCTTTTGAAAAGTCGGTTTTGTGATTAAACAGAACCCACCGCCGCCACAAGGAAAAGTTGGAACACTAGAAACAAAATTTCGCTGTCAGTTCCGTATAATAATTGGAAGGCCTTTTCACATCATCCAAAGTCTCCCTCCAATGGTCCCATTTGTGCCCTTTTAGCAAATAGCCGTACCCTTTTTCTCTTTCTTTTTAGGTTGCTCTGATTTTTGCCCAACTGGACTATTCCTGCTGTACTCAACAAACCACATCAARAAACAAAACAAACCAAGCTTCCTTGAACTCGGCCTTGAATCTTGAGAATATCTATGAGATGTGTAATTCAGCAAGTTGCGAGGGAAAGCTGTACCGAAATTAAAAGGACCAGAAAAAGAAAAGAAAAGAAAAGACCATGGATTTGCAACTTATTTACTTGTCTACCACTCTTTTAAACACATCCATTTTGATTTGACGTTTGGGATTTGAGGAGAAAATAAGGATGTCAAGCGCATAATTTCCTGAAATGACGCAGAATTCGAGTGAGAAATTAAAGTAAAATGTACAATAGTGCTTTTCTCCTCTGCTTTTTGGTCAAAAAATTTAGCAAGAGTCGAGGCTTTAAATGTCTTGACAAAAAAGATGGACCGATAGAGGTTTATGTCAATTACAATTTTTATATTTTTCATATTTTATAACTCTCGAATAAAATATCAAAAATCTCGAACATAAATCTTCGAATATAAAAATATTAGAGATAATATCTTCAGAGGACTGTTTTAGAAACTTATTTACATAAATATGTAAATTTCTATAAATTTACACTTTTAAATTTCTACCGATAGAATTTTCATTTAATTCTGAATTTATCCCTATTGATTGCATTTTCATTTATTAATCGATTTGGATTTTTTGAAATATAAAATTGTTATTTCCATAAATTAATATCACAATGATTTAATAAATGTGAACCTCATAGATATTACCTCAATTCAAATTCTTTAATTCTCTACTCCAAATCCCTATTTTTTTCATCTCTCCTCCATTGTTTCCGTTTTCTTCTCCAAATACCTCGATTTTCTTCTTCTTCGTTTTTTTCTTCAGTTTTTTCTTCCGTTTTTCGTCTCTCCTCCATTGTTTCCGTTTTCTTCTTCGTTCACTACCCAACACAACATCCTTGTCGTCTGCTACGGTGCTACGAACACTT